ACACATTTATTTACCTACTGTTAATTGCACTTACTTAATTGGTCGGATTGAAATTTCTAAAGTCGGTAGTCCAGTAAGGTTCAATGTTAATTGGAATTTCACAGGTCGGCATAAAGGTCGCTCATCAACTCGATAACGGCGTAAACCTGCATGACCGTGCAGTTTTAATGCTCGTTTTAAATTAACATAGGGAACCGAAATTATCTAAATTAACGGAGTTAAACTATTAATTCGGTCTTCTAAATGACAAGAGCTTTCGGACGTAACAAAAATAATTGAAAATATCTTGACGGGAACGGTTGCAAATGGCGGATTAGTTACAGGTTTTGTTTACGGTAGCGGCGGCTGAAACACAACTCGAGTAATTTAATTAAATACATTTACTTTCTATCTTCAATTCCTAGAACCATCATAAATAATTTCGGTACGACACTTTTCGTAACGAAGCGCCCAACTTAAAACGCTTCTAGATACTGGGTGTCCATCTACAGCAATGGTTCTCAAACTTCTTTCCATGGCGCCCCCTTTCTGAAAACTAAAATTGCTCACGCTTCCCTTCCTCCATTAACAATAAAAACTGATTTTTCGTATTTATTAAAAAAAATTACAATCTATTATACAGGGTGACTTTTTTTCATTTTCGTACTTTAGGGATCTCGCGTTCCTCTTTACTGTGCCTTGCGCCCCCCAATTTGGGAATCACTGATCTACAGAGTGATCACTAAAAGTAGTTCAATGGCAGAGCGTTGGACTACAAAGCCGGAGGTCGGGTGTTCAAACCTGAGCTGAGGTAAGAATTTTTCATCTGTGACAGAAATGGGAATTTCCTTAGACCAGTTCCGAGCATTCTACCGGTTACTCCGAATTAGGTTTTCCTGCAGTTTTCTTAGTTCGTAAGGTAAATACCGGAGTAGTATAGAACAACTTAAGACCTTCTGCAGAGGCACCTCTAAAAAGCTTTATGCGGGTCACTCTGTAATTGGGCGCAAGCCTGTTGAGAGTCCAGAACAAGAGAGGGATAATAAATCAATAAATGATTACGAATTACACAAACAAAGTTCAATTCCCTTTTGTTCACTAACGACGTTAAGCAATTTTTTTTTATTAGTTCATTGTAAGGAAAAAGAAACATTCTGCCGCGATTAATTAATTTGTCGTTGGTTGATACACGGTTGTTTTAATTGATGATACTGAGACGTGCGTATTCCACGATAGTGTCTATTTCGTCCGATTGCACAATAATTCTTTATTGTGGTGTGATAAGTGATATATTCACTTAAAGAATTCTTCTCCAAAACTTTCCCGGATTAATTCTCCTCAAAGCAACTCTTTAGTAACACGAAAATGTAATACAAAATTATATTATACTTGAACTACACTGTGATACCGACCCAAATTAAAATTTTACTCTGAACGTACGGTACGGTAAATGCTTCCGCAGCCTAAAAAGCAATGAATTAAAAAAAACTTCATACCCTAACACCTTTTTATTCTTACTTAATTAATTCCTATAAAATGGGGCCTTATTAACGACAACAGACATCTTTAATCACTAATTCGTGACTTAAAAAATATCAAGTTCAGGTTCTCCCGTCGTTTCCATGGAAACAATATTGTTTTCTGTGCTGAATTTTATTTTACTTCTTGCTTCGCGCCCCATTTTTAACAAGAATGACAAATGTCATTAGAATTCGCAATCAGTTGTTTCACTTTATCTACCCTTGCCGTTAAAGTGATCACTTTAGAGACTCTTACTGTAAACGCGACCCGATCCTTCTGTTGTGCACGATCTCAAAAGTAACGAATGGTAATCGTGGAAAGATTGTAAGACCAAGCAGCTCCCATGCTCTCTACGTTGTTTACCGACTTGGTGCCTTATTTGGAAATGGCCCAAAACTCCAAAACAACATTCAAGAGCTGCCAGAGCTGTGACAAATTAATTGGGATTAGCTGGTATCATCCCAATTGGATTTTGAGGCAAATCGCAAACAATTTGTTGCTAATTCACACCGAATCTAAGAGAAAAATGCATATTTGGACCAGTCATTTTCTGCCAGAATTGCTAATGTTGATTTTTTAGAGGTTGATCGTGAGACAAATTGAGAAGATCCTTTTGGATGGCTAATTTAAATAATCGGTTGATTCAGTTACTTCCTGGTTGCACGTGAATGGCATGATTGACTTGTTGCAATGATATATGCGCATAGTTCTCCCTTCGCAGTAAATACATGTATAAAAGATATTTATTTACAGTGCGAGAATCAGGAAACCACCGCCATAACGCACAGCTCGATTGTTTGCAAACGTATTTGTTATAAATTGCACTTTATCCATATTTCCTTCACCTTCACTCGTCCATTGACTTTTCAATTTACGCTCAACACTAACATATACATAAAAGTGAATTTAACAGTATTTTAACCTGTCGTAAAATTAATACGGACTCGTAGATCATTGTATATTAATGTGCATATTTGTGTAATTGCATTCACTCATGCCAGTTTCCTTTTTGTTACTAAGCTGCATAGTTTCGCGAACCGTGTTATTATTATTAATACTGTATTGTGCGTACGTACGTATACGTTCAATTAGCGACGTGACTTATTCAAGAAGCAAGCGTGAATCCAATTGTGTAATTCATCAACTCTGTCGTGTTCATTTTTTCTATTGTAATTTATTTTTATCAATGAAAATTAATTATTATTTAATGCACGGTGTTTTCCAATCCCAATCGGATTGAGACAGGGAGTCGATATGAGGTATAGTATGTGGTTTCAGAGCATCTTCAGTTTAAATGGATGGGGTTCATTTGAGCTGATCTATTTTTGACTCCCATACGATTTTGGAGGTTTGCTCATTTAAGTTGGTAGATTTTGCAACCTCAGGCGTTTTATAATCTATAGAGATTAAGGTCCTCCTTAAAATTGAGCTTCAGACACCTAGGTCAATTTTTTATCTCTTGAAATGAAGGGTGTTTCCATAAGAAAGTCTCTCTGGACCACCGTGTACAGTCACTGAGAGAGTCAGAGTAACTAGCACATTAGGTAAGGAAGTGATATGATTACTTTAACATCTCCCCAAAGAACTATGTCGGTGTGCTTACTATAGGATCATTAATTATGTCATGTGTTTGCTCGTACCGGAAGAAAATCTAATCCCGTTACAGTTGGACATTTAAATATCTTAATGCTGCTTATTGTTTGAATTTAAGATCGAAGGCGGTTTTCTACATACAGGGTGTTTAAAACAGAAGCAACGGTAGATCGTCGTTCGCAGTTGATTCTTGATAACGTGCGAATATGAAAAATGAATGGTTTACGTGCGTGATTCCAGCGATAATATCTCTAATCGTCGTTACGGAACGAGTTCTAAAATTGATAGTAAACAGGTAGCCATTGAGGTTAAAATAGTTACTCGGAGGTTTTGCTGCATATGTATGTATGTAGAATTTTTCCTGGCGAGTGCAACGAGCGCGTTCTCTCGACTGTATCTATTTACAGCCAACAGCTAAACATGAACAAGTTTTTGTTCTTCGGTAGTATAATTTTAGATCTTGAATAATATATATACACACATACACATCCGACCGGTTTATGCTAATGTCCGAGCGTGTATTTCATTTACAGCATCCCGTGCTGACATTAGCGTCGTAATTCCTTGCTTCGATCTTAAAAGAGCCAATTCTTTTTTTGCACTTTTTCCGCTCATCAAAACTGGAAGCGAACTAATTTGTTACAATGTAGTGGTCTGAAATAATACAAGGAAGCAGAAGCATGTTTCGCATCCTGCTTCCAGAGAAGTACAAATATTCTCAACAATAATTTCGTTCCAGGTGGGTCAAAATTATAAAAAAAAAACCATCAAAACTTTGCGTTTTGATCTTTAAATTAATGCCTTGTGGCAATTTAAGAAGTGATTGGTTTCACTTTACACTTATTGTTCAGAACAGAAATCTGATGCAAAAAAAGATGTCTTCATCGTGGTTGATATGGTGAATCCGACCTTTTCCTTGATATCAACATAGATTTCTAGCTCTTCATTTTGGACAAGAAATATACGGACGGATGGACGAATAAAAGGAGCATACAATGACCATGTATAAAAATTTTAATGCAACATATATTTTATGTTGTTTTTACATACCATACAAATATTTGTGCTCTTACTGCTCTGCAGTTCTTCGATTTGGTCTAATAGAGGTCTTTCTTGCTAATAAGTAGCACAAACTTATTTCTTACAAACCTAAAAATATTATCAGGGTATTTTTTTGTGAAGTTCACTATACCCGCTCGTTCGTAGCGCATCTTAGCTAGGAAGAGATCAGATTTATACTATTGAGTTATACTGGAATCGCTCCGATCACGTGCGCTGTGCCCAATTGACGCCAAACTCGATACTTATCATCAATTTCGTTAGGAAAAAGTCAAAACGTTTCCCGATATAAGTGAATTTGATGCATTTTTGAGCCGCGTGCCCGGCCACCTTGTCGCAGATGACTAACTCGCTGGGAAGGTGAACCGTTAGGTCCAGGCTAAACAGCTGACGATCTGGACACACGCGGCTCGATCTCTACCACCCATCCTCTTGGCATGGCGTGGTGTACGACTTTCCGGACGATTTCATTCCCTTGAGCTTTTCGGTCTTCATAGCAAAGTCTAATGCCCAAGAGGGAAAAAGTCAAGATGACAGTAAATTGGCGCAAAGTTGAGAATCACTTACAGGGAGTGGTAGGAATCAAGCGTCGTAGTTCGGGCAAACCCAAACCTCCATCCCTGGCACTGATTCCCCGTGTGGAGATTCAGGTGGATCCTCTTCGTGATCTTTCGGATCATACGGTCTGCTTCCGACAATTGAAGCGGGACTCTGCGCCATCCTGGGGATGAGATAGATGCGTAGGATCGCTTACTTTTGCTATGGGCGAAGCGGCGCTCTCTCCAGATTGCGTAAAAAAAGAAGTGTTAAAAATACCGACAGGGATTGGCTGCCTGTCGATGTTGAAGATGGGTTAGGATCGGAGCACGGACTCCCTCTGGACGCCACAGCGCTGATGGACGTGCACTTTTTCGGGTTAACCTTCAACCCTTGGGTCAGGGGCGCGTCCAACGTTGCGGTCATGTCCACATCAGGTGCGCTGTGCCCAATTGACGCCAAACTCGATACTTATCATCAATTTCGTTGCGGTCATGTCCACATCTCGATCTTCAAACAGGATGACGTCGTCGGCAAGGGCCAGCGCCGATAACAGGACAGGCGAAAGGAGATCGCACTGCTTAAACTCCGTTGTGGATCGGGTTAACCTTCAACCCTTGGGTCAGGGGCGCGTCCAACGTTGCGGTCATGTCCACATCAGGTGCGCTGTGCCCAATTGACGCCAAACTCGATACTTATCATCAATTTCGTTGCGGTCATGTCCACATCTCGATCTTCAAACAGGATGACGTCGTCGGCAAGGGCCAGCGCCGATAACAGGACAGGCGAAAGGAGATCGCACTGCTTAAACTCCGTTGTGGATGAAGACAGCGTCGCTTCTTTCCGCAGCCACCGAGATGGTCGTGGTGGCTTCCGCCCGATCGTCGTCCTTCGGGAACATGGAATTCTAATTCTATTCTATTCTATCAGGGGAGCCTTTACAGGCAGCACTTAGGCTCATCAACGGCCCATTGTGCTAACCCCCTCTCTAAACAACCAAAGCTTAGAGCCCTTTCCCTTCAATGAAGGATAAGACCCTATTTAGCCTTAGTTTCCTCACCTCCCTCGGTTCCAAGTAACTGTCACCGAGGAGTTTATGTCTGTCCCTGATCAGAGCGTCACAGTAACAGACTACATGCTCGGTAGTTTCCTCTACCTCACCACAAAACCTGCACGCAGGGTCTTCCACAAGCCCAATATTGTGCAGGTGATAGTTGACCATCCAGTGTCCCGTGAAGACACCGACGATCTTCCTAATCTGACTTCTGTTTAGGTTTAGAAGCTTAGAAGACTCAGATTTGCCAAGAGGCCCTGTTAAAAAGGTCTTGGACTGTCTGAGTCCAGCTGCCTGTTGCCATTGAGCCTGGAATTGACTGGTCGCCCAGTTCTTAATCCTGACCCTGACAACTGAGGGAGCAATTCCAAGGGTGGGCTCAGGCCCGACAAGGACCCCACTACTGCCTTCGCGAGCCAACTCCCCACTACTGCCTTCGCGAGCCAACTCGTCCGCCCTTTCGTTGCCCCCTATTCCAGAGTGCCCCGGCACCCATATCAAGCTTACCCTATTAGACTCACCTAATCTATCTAGGGTTCGCCTACAGTCAAGCATCGTACTCGAGCGGACCCTGTCAGCTGACAGAGCCTTTAACGCCGCCTGACTATCACTACATATGTATATATGCTGGTTACGATAACCTCTACGGAGGTTTTCTTGCGCACAGGTCGTGATGGCTAGCCCCTCTGCCTGAAACACAGTACTGTGCTGGCCAAGGGAGAGGCTGATGCCTACTCTCGGCCGGTCACCGTGTATACCCATGCCCGTTCCCTTTTCCGTTAGGGACCCATCGGTAAACCACACGAGCCCCTCAGGTTCG